TTGAATTTTTATTTGTTTTTTTCTAAATTTGGTGATCTATTTGTTCATTTTGTTTTTCTGTAATTTTAACCCATTTAGTGTGTACAAATAAATGAGGGTGACCGATTTTCAACTAAAAGTTGACTTTCTTTTCTTGGATTTTGCGGCCAATCCTTCCGTTTGATTAACAGTGCTTAATTACAGAAATAGAGGCGGGTGGGTGGTCGGGGTTAAGGTATATGTTCTTTTGTAGAGTGAGAGTGGGAACTGATCGAAATTAAGGTGTAAAAAAAGCGTTGATCATTCTTTTGTTGTTGTATTATTTATCATAAGATTTATTTTTTATTTCAGAAAAAAAAATGGGGGTGGGTGGGGCAAAGTTTAACTTTTTCCTAAAGTCTTTAATAGGCAAACAAAACTGTAATTTCAATATAAGTACTTCAGAAAAGTAATAATATTGAATTGAACTGTTAAATTGTTGATAATAATCGAAACTTTTGTTTCTCAACTTTTTTCATTTTCGCTGTGTACGTTAGTACCGTCCCTGTCGTAAAAAATATTTTATGCACGTTTTTATGAAAATATGTTTTACCACCAATTAATACAATAATTAAGTATGTCGCAAATTAATCTACTTTGACCACATCCACATAAAAAATTGTAGATCCACGTTTTCAGCATTAATAAATCTTTGGTTAGTGAATCAATGATTACGTACCCAACGTCCTCAAAAAATTAATGTTTGGATGGGAAGAATAAACAGAAGAATCATTGGCCCCTTATTTTTCACGGAAATTTAACATCAAATCGATCTTTGTCCAGACAATCCATAAGATTTTTTAGAACCCGGGATTTGGTTCCAACAGAATGGGGCACCACCACAATATGGTGTAAATGTAAGTGTTTTTTTTATAATCAATTTGTTGGAAGGTGGATTGGCAGGCGTGGACCACTCCTACTCTACAAAAGAACATATACCTAAACCCCGCCCACCCACCCGCCTCCATTTCGGTGATTAATTTTATCTGCTCTGAATGAAAGGCGGATCTTATGCAGAAATACAATTAGATGTTAGAATGTGAAGAGGAAGGGTGGGCGGGCTACTAATTTTTAAGATAAGATTGACTTTGGCAAGTAATATACTTTCTAAAAAAACAGAGGGTGGGTGGGCGGGGCTAGTGCTTGCGATGATAAGACTGAACAATATTAAGAGTAGTATGGCCACCTAGGTCTCCGGATCTTATACCCCTTGATTTTTATAAAAACTCCTGTTTACATGAACAGACTCGATAATTTAGACGACCTGAAAGTACAAATTCGTCATGAAATGACTCGTATATTTCCTCAGACTATTAAAAATTCCGTCAATCAGGTCTACCATTGTCTGGGTTGGTGTGTCTATTTGTAGGTCTATAGCATAAATTTTTACATATCTCCCTATCTAAAAAATTATTGATGACGTCGCAACCAATTTGATGTAAATTTTTTTTGATGTATGTCAAAAGATGGAGAGTATAATGAAAAGCTTGACATGTTTTTGCATTTTTTTCAAAAACAAATGCTGCGCTTTTTATGAATTTTGGGCATTACTTTATCATAACCCGATATAACGTTTCCTAGGACCTCTTTCTCTTGTAATTTATAATAATTTATCTCAAAATGTAACCCCAAATCCAGTATTATTTACTCATGGCATGATTTTGGACGAAAAAGCTTAAACTATGTACATACGAATATAATTTTATTATTTTATTTAATGGACCAAAACATTACTTGGTTAAAACAGGAGTAACAAAAAATATGGAAAGAAAGCAACTAGATAAAAGTTTGGTAGAAATGCATCACCAAGAGTATTTCGTATATGACCTCAAAATTTTCAAAACTGGCTTCTTTTCCAAAACAGTGCCTTGCAAACTTATTTACTTTCTTCGTTCGCCTTTTATTCGCCGACTTACTTGTGTTTGTGCATTTTGAAGTTTTTTCCATCCTTTATCAAATATTTCGATAAAAAACTGAAACAATTAACGTAGCGTAACGTAACGACGACGATGCCACAGTTTCCCCAACACGCGTAGCTAATTCTTGCGGAAATAAGTAAATTTTCGACCGACGCCAACACGTGTGTAAATTTGTTTTATTGTTTGTAAATTCACAGTTCATGTTAGGAGTTTAATCGTTAACTAGTTCTAACACAATTTAACAATTGCTCTTTGTTTACCAAATTACAAATTAGGTATCTGATTGCTTATACGTAAGTGTTACATAATAACACCTCTTAATTCCCCACACAAGATTGATAACAATTTATTTACGGCAGTTAAATCAATCTAACGTTGCCCTACTCTGGGAAAAGATCGTGAAAGTGCGGTAGAATTCATAATCTCGTGACCTGAGGTACAGGGGGATTAAAAATCTCCCCCTTTAGGCAATTATCATCATATCATCATCACATCACCGAGATATTTTCTCTCAACGCCTGATACATTTTGTGTTGTTTATTTTCATGTGTTATGTTTGGGATAAGCTGGGGACAGTCCACGATATAAACACTCAAAACTAATGATTTTAAGTAACCAATCACTTGAATCAAGGCATCATTTAACATAATGTAAATTCTTTGTTTGAACCGTTGATAAAGTGTGGTATAATTTATTATAATGTAAATGCTTTGTTTCAGTCGTTGATAAAGTGTCATTGGAGGAATAAATAATTTTGTGTCCTCCGTATATTTTGTGTTTTATTTAGCGGTACTTTTCCAACGTAGATTCCTTTTTGTCAGACGATCCAGCGAAGGCCAAATTTTGAATTTTAAAATTTTTCAATTTAATGCGGGATGTTTGGGTTAGCACAATGTTCTTGCTGAAATGTAGATCGGAAAATTTTCCAATGTGAAAACTCACTAGAAATAGGCACAACCTTGCTCTTTATATCAATACATTCATCCTTTTGGAGCAGTTATGTGAGCCTCCAGCTGATAACCCCACATTCCGCGCCAGACCAAACATAAACAAATTAACAGAATGTTCAGCAAACGCCCTACAAAAATCTGTAAAATAATACAATCATCTTTTTGTTTCCTACTTTTTTATCAAATTTTATAATATTTCAATTAAGCGGGATTTGTTGGACTGTACTTCAGACTGTTGAACTACGCTCCGACCAATTTTTTTTTGTTCGGCTTAATGCTTGTAAAGTAATTCCAATTCACAACGAAATATTGCTCGTTTCTTTGTTCTTATTTCTCTCCTCCTTTTTTCTGTCTTAATTCGCTAATTGGGTTCGCTGTTCGTATCCAACTGGTTAGGTTGCCTTCAAATAACAGTCACAGCCTCCGTACTAAATATTCATTGAAAGCAACAAATTATCGGATTTCTGTTTTCAATTTTTGCCGTATTTACTTTTATTCGTTAATTTCTATCCACCACATTTACTACTAATACTGTCTGCTCCCACCAAAGAATTTGAGTCGATTTTCTTTCTCAAAGTTGAAATTGGATTATCACTTCAATGGAGTAACGTAGATTTTTTAGCAAACCCCCAACTATCACTAATTTATTTGCTACACCAATGTGACAATTAGAGGGCTGGAAACACGTACTGCGCACAGGGACTTCATCAGGGATTTTGACGAAACAGTTCTTTACATTTTCATTAAAAAAAACTGGCTAAAAACGAAATCTCTTGATCTTTCTTAAACTGATTGTCTTCTTTTTTGATAAAGATAATTCTAAGCCAGCGGCATTCCTCAATAACAGAGTTTATCTGGAAAATGGCTACTTTCATGTTTTCTCCTACTCCTAGAATACGAAATAATAAGATTTCCGTTTCCGTTTGTCTGTCTGTCGTCTATCATCTATGTTAATGTTATTAGATAGATAATTACGGAAACTATCAGACTTATTGCTGTCAAATTTTATACATATGTTGGGACTATCGTGTAAATGGTAAAACCTGATGCCACTACCTCAAAATATTCCATGGTAATGCTCTTTACCATTAAAACGTCATCATTCTGAGAATTTCTTCAATAAAAAATATAGTGCTTTGTAAAAAATTCCTTGTAACTTATTTCACGGTGGATAGAGATACCTTAAATACATCCTAAATTATTAATTGTTAAATATTCGCGGCTATTCATTAGCGTTGGTTATATTAATTAGTAGTGAGAAAACTCTATCTCCAGCTTCCTCATTATTAATGTAAAGTTAATTCAACGGTCGCAATTTGAGTAGTTAATTGTTAAATAAATCTATTGCTATGACAAATGAACTTCATTGTTATCCCTCGACTGAAATGGCCGTTTGAAGTAGCAAAATAGGTCATTCATTGTGATCTCCCGACGTAACTTGCTAGATCCGACGACAAAATTGCCTATTGTCAATCTTACAGTTCCGTCGTCTCCACAAAACGACATTTAACGCACCACAAACCTCTACATCTCTTTTCGATATTATTGTTACTTCGGAAAAAAATCAACAAATTTAATTGATAAACCAGCCTAATTACTTCAACATTAATTTTGTCGCATAAAATGGATATCTGAATTGGCCGTCTGACTCATCATAATGTATGGATTCCAGAGTCAACCCTCATAATAGTGTTATTCCCCTTTTGACATTTCCAATAGTATTTTCCCATTGTGACGGGAGACTCGCTTTACAAGTAAATTCTCTTTCTTTCGATCAAAATTTATTCCGATATTCTAAAAAAAGGAAATAAGACCGCTTTCCATGTCAAAGTACGTAAGCAGACGCATGTACACATCCGGCATTGATAATTTCCACCTCGAATGATATAAAGAGCGTTTTTGTTAAAAGCATCGTGTGTCTTATTCAAACAACCCTTTTGAAATATGATATTAGGGTACTCAGGACAGAATTAAATGAACAAAGCGACAGCCGGCTATAAAGACTTCATTGTAAATGTAAGTTTCGACTGCGGTGTAAATAGTGTATCGATCTGTCTTGAGGGCGCACAATGTGTGTTTTAAGAGCAATTAAACTCGCCGTTTTCTCGCTAACCTGGTAAATAAAAATGACTGGCCATTGGAGGAAGTACCACAACCAGCCGTAGTCCGCAATGTCGTAATAAACGGTGCTGTAGCCTCCATTACTGATGTAACAGGCGAGCAGGGCCGAAATGGAGGCGTTCATGAATAGGGTGAGGGAGCCTAGGGTTATTTCGTGTCTTTCCAGCTCGGGGGACATGAACTTCTTCGGCTGGCATTTCCACTCCTCGGCGTTGTCGCGCTGGCGGACGTAGTAATACCACTGGGGACACAGAATATGGTAAACAAGATGGATTTCAATCTGTGGGTGAAGTAGTAAATTTTGGACAACAGTTTTTGCTCTATTTTTTTTCAAAATATCAAAGGCTGAAACTGGATGAAAGATTAAAACATGTCAAGAAACACAAATTTACAAATCTGTAGACTTGTTATAATTCATATAAGACTGAATGAAATTTCAAGCCAAGAACTGCAATATCAATATTTGAAAATCGTGAAGTTTTAGAACTTTTTATAAACACTCTGTATACTAAAAATTGATTTTTTGTTACCACAATAAAGCGCGTACTTTTATTTGTTTTTCCACAAAATATTGTAACCTAGATTTTAAAAATAACCCTATTGCGTTTTTTTGTGTGAACTCTACCAAAAATTTGAAAGAAATTGGAATAACTTGACAACGTCGCAACGGAATTTAAAAAAAAATTGTGGTTATAAACCCCCAGGAATAAAAATATTTAAAAATAAACAGGGTATTTCTTAAAAAAAAAACTTGTGTGTTACGTATTAAGAACAGAACACTGTATATGTTTTAAAAATAATTATAGGGTATAGTCCTCAAAGAAGCGTACAGTTTTGGTCTTTGCCTTTTTTTCTGTCTGTAATAATTATGTAGCTTGTTGACCCACCACATAAAATGAATCAAAACCATGGCTTAAATTTGCCAAAAACTACTGAAAACCACAATAAAGAAGCTAATCATGGCAACACAAAAACTAGCAAAATTACTTGCTCTTATGTCATGTTTGACTCCTACTAAAACTGTAACAAGTGTATTAAATGATAACTAAAATTTCATGATTCTAATCTTTTGTTCAAATTTCACTTTTTAAATAATGAATAAAGAAAATAACAATTCTAGAAGCGGAATTTTGAGAAATAAAAGTAATATGTCTGCTAGTTTAATGACTGCTTATGTTTGTTCAGTGGTTTAATTTTGTTTCAAATTATTTCTCATGTTACAACTGAAAGAATCTATATTGCATCAACAAGCGAAAAACTTTTAACCAATGCCAAGTGGATAAATTCTCCTTTTTCGTGTGTGCCGTAATTTTTGTTCCAGTGAGTACTTTTGACAATATTTTCAAACTTTAGTCTACTTCTTCTTTTTTTATAGGTTGCTCTATGTTATTTGTAAATAATAGTTATGCGACTTTGTCTAGAATACGCAAGTTTTGGATTGTCTTATTATTATTATTATTTTTTTTATATAAAATTGTTTCAAAAAAAATTATTTTTCCTTTTTTAAGCTTTTTCTTGAAACAACGTTTCGAGTGACGTAACATCGGCATCATCTTCGAAATCCATTTTTTTGGATTTTTTTTTTGTTTTTGTTATATTTAATAATTGATAGCAAGAAAATATTCAGAATCGCTCATTTTCAACCAAGGAAATATTTTTTTTGTAAAATTTCCAAAACCTAAAATTTAGATTATTGTAAAAGCTACAAAACATATTTCACCAAAAAGAAATATCAGTTCGTTATATACAGAGTGTCCAGTTTATCTGTTTCGCTCTAATTTTAATATCAGTTATTTAAAAGGTATAAAGCATGAAATTTAGAACAGTTAATCATAACAAAAATCTAAAAATTAATATACATAGTGAGAAATAAAAAAAGACTGAAGTGTTTTGTTTTTGTTGTAGTTATTTAATAACTTCTAACACCAAGAAAATATTTGAAATTGCTCTTTTTCAACCAAGGAAACTTTTTTTTTTCGTAAAATTGCCAAAACTTAAAATTTAGATTATTGTAAAAGCTATAAAACATATTTCACCAAAACGAAATATCAATTCGTTAAATACAGGGTGTCCCACTTTATCTGTTACGCCCTAATTCTAATTTCAGTTATTTAGAAGGCATAAATCATGAAATTTAGAACGGTTAATTATCACAAAAATCTAAAAATTAATATACATAGTGAGAAATAAAACAAGACTAAAGTGTTTTGTTTTTGTTGTACTTATTTAATAACTACTAAAATTGCTCATTTTCAACCAAGGATTTTTGTTGTAAAATTTCCAAAACCTAAAATTTAGATTATTATCAAAGTTACAAAACCTATTTCATCAAAAAGAAGTATCAGTTCTTTATATACAGAGTGTCAAGTTTATCTGTTTCGCTCTAATTTTAATATCAGTTATTTAAAAGGCATTAAGCATGAAATTTAGAACAGTTAATCATAACAAAAATCTAAAAATTGATATACACAGTGAGAAATAAACAAAGACTGAAGTGTTTTGTTTTCGTTGTAGTTATTTAATAACTTCTAACAGCAAGAAAATATTTAAAATCGCTCATTTTCAACCAAGGAAACATTTTTTTTTTCCTAAAATTACCAAAACCTAAAATTTAGGTTATTGTAAAAGCTACAAACATATTTCACCAAAAAGAAATATCAGTTCCTTATATACAGGGTGTCCCAGTTTACCTGTTCCGCTCTAATTCTAATATCAGTTATTTAGAAGGCATAAAGCATGATATTTAGAACGGTTAATTATCACAAAAATCTAAAAATTAATATACCTGGTGAGAAATAAAAAAAGACTAAAGTAGTACGGTCTTTTGAGGAGCATAGAGGAAAATTATTAACTGTACCATGAAAATGTACCTCCCTGTATATTTGTACATATGTAGTCTTATTGACTTCCTCTTAGGCTTTATAAATACTAACAGTTTATTTTTATAACTGGAATGCGACGTAGCCACCTTGGTCCAATTTTCTTGCAACAATGTTACTTTTAAGTACGAGCTTTGTTGTGGCATCAGTTAAATCAAATTTTAATGTACAGAATGTTCAGAAAAAAAATTGTATATATATTTTATTGTTAATTTTTACTTTCTTTCTTTCGATGTCTATCTCTTAAACAAGTAAAAATGTCACACAATCTACTTTAAATTTAGGAAATATTTAACAAAATATTAACTACATGTGTGCTGTTTGAAAAAAAAAATGAGAATTTATTTATTTATTTATTTATTTATTTATTTATTTATTTATTTATTTATTTATTTATTTTAATAAATACTTTGTATATTAAGACCCCATTGAACACTCAATTGCTAAAAAAATTCAAGAAAATTCAAAAAACGTGACAACGTCACATCGGAATTTTCAAAATAATCTGTGGTTATAAGGCCTAAAATGAGGTCAATCAAAATATGTAATATATAGGGTATTCGATTTTAATAAACTAAGTTGTGTGGTACGTCTTAAAAACAGAACACTCTGTACAACTGAAAATAATATTAGTATACATGGCGGATCACTAAACTCGCGCTCCTCGATATTCATGATTTATTAAAAATAGAAAAAAGAGTTACAGACCAAGGTTAGCGGTTTTGGAGAAGCACATTCTAAAAATATTTTTAACTGTACAGAGTGTTCTATTTTAAGGCACCACACACAATTTTTTAATGAAACACCATATACAGGGTGCTGAAAAAATGGCGCACCAGCTCAACGCTACTTTAAGTTCACAGATCTAAGTTCAGGAAACATCATTAAAAAATTCCTTACGTCAATTTCACGTTCACTTACAAAAACAAAATATCGATTTAGATTTATCCTAAACAATTTTTAAGTTTTTTGTTATATTATAAAATGAATAAAATTGTGGATGGAAACAAAATCATTTTGAATAATGGAAGTCTAATTGATTTCATGTATCCAACACTAAGTGGCGAGTTAGAATTTGGTGAAATATTGACAATAAAAGTTAAATCTTGAAGAGCTATATTTTCGACATTTGATCCCAAGAATTTTTTTAATTATTTTTTCTCTGTTCTATGAACAATCCTCAACAACTTGGCACAGATTTGGTACGCCATTTTTTCAGCACCCTGTATATTTTTACATAGACTGCACGTCAAAAGTTATAAAAAATCTAATAATAAACATGTCTTCCATCAATATCCTTAACTTTCGACGCGCCGTTTCACAATATTTGATGAAATGATAAAGTTCAACCTATTATTATAAATTTCAATTCTTGATATTGCAGTTTTTTCAAATACAACACCCTGTATGTTATTACTGCGTCTCCTCGCTTTTCCTCTCATCGCCAAAACTTTTTAAGAAAATTGGAAATTGGAAATTGGTCATAAATCCAATGAAGGACTTAAAGAGAAGACGTAAAATATACAAGGTATTCCAGTAAAAAAAAAACTCTACAGTTGAAAATCATTTTAGAGTTTGCTACTTAAAGAATCGTAAAATTTTGGTCTGTATCTCTTTTTTCTCTTTCTAATAATTAATGAAATATTGACGATAACGATTAGTGGCTCACCCTGTACAAGTAACATTTTGGTTTCCAAAAATGACATCAACTTATTCTTTTCAAACATACAGAGCGTTTGTCAAATAAATTACTATCAATTTAACTCCCCTAAAACCGAACCACATTCTGTTTGAACGAAAAGATTGATGTCATTTCCGGAAAAAGCAGAGATATAACGTCTACAATTTTTTAAACCATTAAACCAAACCACGTACCTATGTCTCTTTTTACGAGTAGGTCATTTATTATTTTATTATTTTATAATTTGTTATTTTGCACAAAATACGTAACTAATAAACAAAAAAAAACGAAAACACTTTTTTTATATTTTTTACGAAATAAGGAACTATTTAGGTTAAGAAATTTTCATTCTTGTTGAATCTTCCTTTACAAAATATGTATACAATTTCCAAATAAAATTGGTGACTTCTTTTTTAATTTATTAAATTTATTCATTCTATACTTTATGCACACTCATTAACATATTAAAGATTTCAAGAAAAAAATTATTGCGCCAAACAAATATCCAAAACATAAACACTTCTGATTACTTAACAAATATCCATTAGTGAATGAAGATTATTAAACACACGAAATTACTGATTTACTCTAGATAAAATAACTCCTGAAAATTATCTTAGCAATTTTCAGAAATATCGGCTGCAGTTATCATGATTAGTTATAAATACAGTGTATTATTACATAGAAATACATATATTTATACCACAACATGCGATGAAAAAGTTTTCTTATCAAATGAGTTTCTGGCATTGATATAATCAATGCTTACATTGTACGCTTTGATGAAATAACTTTCCACCTTATTTATTCATTTTATGGATTTTTGGAGAAATTAGTGGCTTCGCACACTAGAATTTAGAGCGGTTACTCAATTAACGTGGCCGTAATTTAAAAAAACCACTAAAATTTTGTGAAATATATATATGTATTATTTAGGAATGTGGAGAGTTATTTTAATAGAATATAGCTTATACCTGCATAATTTAAAATTAATATAGCTGGAAATATTTGATATAATTATTATTGTACAATATTTTTGTAACAAATATTTATATATTTTTGGGTAAGCATGGCGTCAAATGTCAAATATAGTCGTGCGTAAGCGATCATAATATCAATCATATCAGCTGCAATGATAAGACAGAGATCAGTAAATATTTCCACAGCACACTCTAATCACAAAACTTTTTGATCGCACGTTTTGTTATAGGAATTTTCTTAACAATGAAACATAATTTAGATTAAGATCTAAGACAATGTTAAAACAATTAGCACTGTGTCGGAATCTTGGAAAAAACAAAACTTATTTATTACCAAATTTTAACAAAAAATTCTTTTCAACTCTGTTTTGTAAATTAAAGTTAAAGATTCAGTAAAATCATTGCACATAAAATATACATTTTCTCCATTACGTAAATTAAAATTTTAAATAATGAATTTTTCAAACTATGGAATGAAAGCTAGCTGCTGGCTCACGTAATTAATAAATATTTTCAACAAGAAATGAAAATCTCAAAACATAAAATCTGACTTTTGCGCTAAAACTAATCTACTAATCAGAGCCAAAAAAAAAACACCAGAGCTGTAGATTCAGTCTTGAACTATATTTCTGGCCACTTTATACGTTTCACCCCTTGAACTTTCCTCCGAAAATGAGCACAACACGCCTTCGTTTGTAGTCTCCACTACAAAGGCAGAAACAACGGTCAAACGATATTACCGCCATGCATAGGAAACAAGTCTTAAAACTTTATGACAGTCCCTTCTGTTTCTTTACCCAGCGACAAATGTTTATGCGTACACATAAAAAGCAATTTGCACCTCTTCCAGTTTATGTTTTCTTTTACAGGCCTGATGGAAAAGCTCGGCATAAAGTTCGCGGTAAAATTGTAAAACATTGTTTGCCGTGTTCGGATAGTCAAGCGATAAAATCCGCATCATTGACATAAGTACTACAGTACCTTGGGGATCGGGCGAGACACCTGCATGCACCGAAATAAGCCGTTTAAAACAGATAAGCATTAAATCGATACAATCAGACCGACAGCTCACACAAAAAGGGAAATAAAAATTTAAATCCACGGAAAAAGAAATACCTACGTGCAGGAATCCACCTAGGACGTAGTACATTAGATAGGACACCAGGCAGGAGTATACCCAGAACGTCCAAAAATTCTGCAAGCCAAGAGATTCCAGAGTTATTTCCGACAAGTTGGATTGTGTACTGTTATTTGCAGTTTCTCCACGACTATTGTATCCCCATTGTCGGGTAACATGTACAAAAATATTTACCCAGTCTCCTGAAATGGAATATTATGTAATGTTTGTGTGTTTTGCTCTCTTGTCAAGTGTAGCACCTGAATAAATAGCGCGAGTTAATCGCCGTAAGATTTAACACCTGCCATTTTAGATGGAACTTGATAATTGCGCCAGCGATAAGACGTTACACACAACAAAATAAGGTTTAATAGAAAATAAATATTTCTATGTCAACTACCTGGAAATTTTCTGGTGATTAGATACTAACGATCGAGTTATATACTAAATGCACATGGTTTGGCGAAAGTCTAAGAACATATACCATATATATTTATATGGGTTGCTTGCCTAGATCATAAAAGTTGAAGTAGGTACATGTCGACTGAGCATACAGTATTTCATACCTAATATTGAAAACATATTTTTAGATATTAGCTTCTCTTCATATAAAATATTATTAACAGATGAAAGCCAGAATTTTACAATGTAAAATTTGGAAAAACATCTGATTGTTATTTGTAACAACAAAAAAAAATGTGTAGTATACAGCGTTATTACGTAAAAATATGTTATATGTAATAACTAATAAATATAATATGTGCATAAACCCGTACATAATTGGAAGGAATTTTGAGCATATAAATCCCCTCTTTAATGTTTACTCATGAAGATGAAGTTTGCCGCACTAGTCAAAGTCAACTGTGCTAAATCATCCGAACACTATTTGCTTGTATTACTTACTGCCATTAACATGATTTGTTACTCGCGGAGAGCTAAATTGGCCATATACTGTGAGTAATGCATTGTATTACCTAACTAGGGAGCTAATTAAAACTAACACATTAATTGACAAAACAAACTTGAAAACCGAAATATTACCCTACTTATAAAATTGATTTTAACAAAAAATGAAAAGAAAAAAAATTCTCCATCACTCAAAATTTAATCTCCGAATATATTTGTTGTTACTACGTTTAAATTACCACAAGAAAGTTAATTACAGAATTAATAAACAAAGTGTTGCAGCTTGAATAAATATTTTAGTTTTAATTTTCAATCTGCCTTGAATTCACTTTGATCGTTACACAGACACTTGATATTTCACAGCATACAAATTTGTTTGAGTTTTTTCTTAATGAAAGTTAGGGCAAGAAGATCGAAAGAAAAAGTATTTCATAAATTGCATAAAATCTACAGTCAATAAATACCCAAGGCAACTTTTTCCTACATGCGATCAACCAATATCCTGACGATTTTTTTAATAATCATTATTTCCTCTAAAGCAGTAAAAGAGAAATCTTTGTATAGTGGTACAACTCTGACTTCGTTTTTATGGCACTACTACCTCAATTACCGCAAGTATTAGGAACTCTATGGGAAATGTAAATAGCCGTGCCATAAATCATCTTGATGATGATGTTTATTAACGGTCAAAAAAAAAACAATTACAATAATAAAAACATACAAAAGTTACAACACTAAATTAAAATCTTCCTGTGGATCGATGATTTAAACCTGGTGTAAGAAATTCCCACAAACTCAATTTCATTATACATAGATAAGTGTCAGTCTAGCAAGACGACTAACAGGCGATTGAAACGCGTACAAAGTACGATGATATGGAATTGAAAGTAAGTGAGAATTTCTTACTTGACGAGATGGAACATGTATCATAAATAAAATTAGAATATTTGAACAAGTAACAATATATATAAACAAAACACATATCAAACATTATTCTTCTCTTAGAAAGTAACGTAAGCCCAAAATAACTTATTATCATAGTATAATTATAGTTATTGAAAAATATATTGAACTTATAGCACAGAAATTTGACGAATTTTTTTTTAATTTTTTCAATTCTTTGACTGTGCATCTTATAATAAGGAGACCATATAGTAACACCGTATTGGAGGATCGACCTTACAAAAGATGAAAACAAAATAAAAAAGATCTAAGATTTGAGAACACACTACAGGTTCTTTTTACTAATCCTAACATTTTATTTGCTTTAGAAACAATATTATTTATGTGAAAAGTAAAAGAGAGTTTACTATCAATAGTAATTCACAAATCACAAAAACTGGTCACATTTTCAAGAACAATAGAAGACAATGTATAATTATAATGTTCAGAACATAATTTGCAACTAAATCTTAAAACCTTACACTTAGGTATGTTAAATTCTAGTCCATTTTTCTTACACCAAAATTCTAAAAAGTTCAAATCAGATTGTATCATATGACAATCAGAGGGGCAAGTAATTTTTTTAAAGATTTTTAAATCTCTGCAAATAGTAAAAACTGACTAGATTTTATAACATCTTTGATATCGTTTACAAATAGAGAGAAAAGCAAGGGCCCTAAATGGGACCTTGCGGAACACCGGAAGATGGAATTATACATTTTGATTTGAACCCATTTATAATTACAAATTGCCTTCCATTACTTAGATATGAATCTATCCATGATAGTAAAGGATCACCAGTTCCAATCTTAGCCAATTTAATAGTAGAATACAAATATTCACCCTATCAAAAGCTTTTGCCAAATCAGTGTAAATACAATCAGTATCGTAACCATTTTCCATATTATCAACTATATAATTAGTAAATATCATTAAATTAGAAGTTGTCAAACGCCCTTTAAAGAAACCATGCTGTTCATCTAGGATGATATTTTTTACATGAAAAGACAAAATGTCACATGTAATTGAATCAAATATTTTGGCTATAGGTGAACCAATACTAATAGGTCTATAGTTTGAAATATCACTACGATGACCTTTCTTATAAATAGGTGTAACATAAGAAATTTTCCATAGTGTAGGAACTTTGGATAATTGTAAAGATCTTTTATATGAAATTTGTAAGGGAAAACATAAATTGTGAGCACATTGTTTTAAAAATAGTGATGGAATACCATCTGGACCTATTTTAACAGAAGAATCTAGGGGAAGTAATTTAGACAAAACAAGGTCGGTGGATATTTCAAATGAATTAATATCAACAAGATTCTCTTTCCAATTTGATGAACTCATATTAAGATCAGTATCAGCTACAGTATATACAGTTTGAAAATAAGTAGTAAACAAATCTGCAATGGATTTAGAAGAATCAGCTATGATATCACCTAAGAACATAGAACAGGGGAACTCCACTGTATTAGATTTTGATTTCTTGACAAATGACCAAAAACCATTACTATTAACAATAATATTCTGCTCAACACTTCGAATATGATTTTTCCTACACAAGTTCATAGCCAACTTACATGTACGTCTAAGATCACAAAATTTTACGTAATCTGAGTATAATCCATTTACCTCAAAATTCCTATGAGCTTCTTTTTTTTTCACAATAAGAGATCTTGTATGGTTATCAACCCAATAAGGAAAATTGTTCTGAGTTTTTTTAACAACAATAGGAACAAAACGAGTTATAAGAGAATTTATGTGAGAATAAAAATAATACATACAATCATCAAGATGAGAAAAATTTTCCATGGTAAACCAATCAATTTGCTCCAGGTAGGTATTAATTACATCAAATGACGCGTTCTTAAAATCCAAATAAGATGTGTATATAGTGCGATCTAGTAAAGGCAAGAATATGTCACTAATTTTAATAATAAAGGCAGGATGATTTATATCTTTCGGTAATAAGGATAAACATTCTTCAATGATAAGTGTAGTAGGTATTACTAAAGCTTAAATCCAAAATTACATCATTTCCATTCAATATAGAGTTGTATTGAAAAAGACCACTCACAGCGAAATTGTCACAAATTAATTCTTCAATCATTGAAACAACGTTAACAGGTATTAAATAATTACAATTAGTATCGCTTTTCCAGCTCAATCCAGGCAAATTGTAATCACCAACAATACATACTGTAGTTTCAGGATAATCAGCAATTAAAGAATCAACCAAAGATATATGGTCAGAATACACAGCTAAGGGTGAATTAGGAGGAAAATACACAGTTCCAATTATAATTTGTATGCCATTAAACGAGATTAGTATCCAAACTTCTTCTCTTTGAAGAGTATCAATTTGCAGTAAAGTAGAAGGAATATTCATTATAACAGCTATCATTACACCACCACTACGTTCTTTATTCGTCTCTAAAAAGGATCTATCCTTTCTGTAAACAACATATCTATCATCTATAATTTCCCTATTAAAAAATGTGTCATTAAGCCAAGTTTCTGTTAATGAAATTATCGGATAGTTTTCGCACAATACACTAGAATATAAATGACTGATTTTAGTTCTTAACCCTCTAACATTCTAATAATAAATAGTTAACTCTGAGTTTGATGATCTGGACTTTTTTGAAAATTTGATTGTCTTCGTACACTACGAGGACTAAAATATTTACGAACCGCAATACCGATTGGCCAAAAAGATGCATCCAAAACTTTTTCAATTAATGAGAAATCGATTGATAATAATTTAAAGGAACTGTATTTATCCGGGAACTTAGAATTTAATTGTTTGAGTTCAAAAGATTGAATATTGTCCATATTGTCATTTGCGCTACAAACACACTGTAATTTATTCCTAATATAATCTTCAATCCTACTAATATTAACCCCAGGATTTACCGCATATGTTTTGATTTGACCCTATGGGCTGTCACAGCCGATCGGACTCCTAATTCTTCAAGACCAGAATTCGTAAGTGGGTCCAACTAGAGTGAAATTAACGTATTCACCAAATTGTTACTTTAGTCAACTTTTAATTAGAAATCTTGTTGCTTAATTAGTAATTAATAACGAAACATTAAATCGAATGAAAAATAGGCGCAAGTAAACAAAACAGGTCCGTACTGACAACACAAGAGTCGACAAGGGACACCAAAAAATCAGTTAGAAGATACCAAAGAAAATTTAAAAGAGCAAAAGTTACTAAAGGAGAAAAAGAACCCTCACTCTTACCGTCATCGTCACTACAAAGTATAAAGATACAAAGAGACTCCAAGAGACTACAAACAGCTGACGAAATGGATGAAATAAAGATGTTCGAAAAGATAGTGGT